TTTTACATAAACTTCTGTATAATATGTGATCCAAAAGACCCAAAGTGGAACTGTACTTACCGGATGTGAAATTTAGGTTGGTTTCTAAATAACACCATGCATTTAACATGTGAATGGACAGTTTTCACTTACATTTGCAGAAGGAGTCTGCGGTTTTCAGAGTGACGAATCCCATTCGTGTGTTGAGTCCATTCCTTCACAAACACAGGAAAGGACGAAAAAAATAACCTTAATATAATAAAACAACATTGCTTGTACATGACAGTTAAACTGGCTTTGAGATCTAAACAATTCAAGGCTTGACAAAGTGGCTCAGAGCTAGCTTGACAAGTTACCCTTTCTGACTATAAGTACGAGCAACAAATGAGTACTGGTATGGATCTGAAAAGAGTTCTACATGCTAACTGTCCTAACTGGAGCCAAGCATAAAGACCAAGAAGTCAGTAATACAGCTAACAACAGTTCATGTCCAATTTTTTTACTCCAATTTGATACTAAGCAAAACTAAGAGGTGCTGATTTAAATGCAACAAATGATGTTTAAAGAGGGTCTTCTTCAACAAGCAGGACTCAAGAAGAAAGAAGTGTGTGTGCAGAAGGCAAGCGGCTTGAATTACTCACCATGACAGAGTGCACATCATAATCACAAAGGGAGCATACATGGGGAAACATGAGGGGCATGACTCCCAAGAAATCCTGCACTTTGCCCTGAGACGGGGTGCCCATCCTTCTCTGCATGAACATGTCGTCAGATGCCGATGACGTCGACATGCCAAGGCTGCGGTAGGAGTCATGGGAAAGATCAGAATACTGGCGGTCTCTGCCGCTACCGCTGCTGTAATCTAACATGTCGTATCCACGACCGGACGATTCTTGTGTGGAAGTATAACCGAAGTCGCCTTGCGAGCGGCTTTGAGCCTGCCCTCCAGAACGGTCCAATCTTCCACCCTGTGAGCTGCCCCAATCGTCTCGGCCGCCTCTGTACGAAGACTCAGAAGAAAGGGTCGACATATCCCCAGTCATGCGGCGGCCGGCTTCCATCTTGCGGTTCTTTAGTTGCATGATAAGATGGGGCAAGGTCTCCACGCTGATGTTCTCCTCTGGAACCTGCGCCAGCGCATCCAGATCGGTGGGCGACAGGCCTAGGCTGGCGAACAGTTTCATGGTATTGCTAATGTGGCTGCCCGCTCGGCGGGACAGCTGAGAGTCGTGGTCTTTTCCCTCCCCTCCACCCAAACCAGACATGCCACTATGAGATTGGGAAGACGAGCCGTAGTGGTCCGAGTGCGTCTCGCCCAAACTAAAGTTCAAAGTCTCGGCGGCTGCCAAAAGCCCACGGCCAACAGCAAAGCCTTTCTGAGCATCATCACCGGTCAGTTTCTGGGACATGACGGCGCTCTAGACGAGTGGAAAAAGAGAGGAACAAAGCGAATCAAAAAGTCCCCAGAAAGACAATCCGTCGATTTAAGCCTGGATCGAGTAAAGAGAGCTCCTCCAGAATGAAACAGGTCTGCAGAAACACAATGGAGCAATGATTTCTAGCATGCTCGCGAAATGGTTAGCAGTGGCATAGGAAAGCAAGACAGTGAGCTCCACAAATCCATACAATGCAAGTAACAGAAGTCAAAATTATTTACAAATGACAGAGGTACAAATGGACAGTTTGGTACATTGACCAAATAGACCATAAAATGAAGATTTATAAGTATCATGAAGAGCAATTTATTGGGAAAGTACAATAGAGCTTTGAAGGGAAATAAAACAGAGTCTGAATCAAATTTAGATCCTTAAATGTGGATGGGAAAGACAGGGAAAGCATCACACTTTCTTGGTCAGGAGAGATTCAGGGAGAGAGAGTGATCATGCCTTTAAGTTGTACTGCATGACCAAAAACTACAAATCAGAAATCCATGAACGGAAACAAATTTAACCAAAATAAAGCTAATCAACTTTAGCACTTAAATAATTTGGCATCAAGAGGTCTTGATAACAGCCAATAGTTGGGCTCAAGTGAAACACATGGGGTGCAAAGAGAGCACAGGATTTTCTGAACAAGATATGAATCTTCATCCAAAAAAAAGTGAAATTTTACACATTAACTGTGACTTGAATCTGTGGTGTTTGTAATGGAAAAGATGGTATAAAAAAAGTCAAAAATGGGGAAAAAAATATATACATAATGGTGTCTCACTTGACAAGCTATTTATTTTTATTATTTTATTCAGAACGTTGTCATCTATGATTTTGGAAAGCTGAAATGAGAAAAGTGTCTTATAAAACAGGATGACATTTGCAGTATCAGTATAAAAACAGTGGTTACTGTGCGGCCAAAATACCAAAAATAGACCAATTAAAAAAAAATAATAATAAATAAATAAATAAAAATAAATAAAAATAAATATATATATATATATATATATCAAAATAAAAGGTAAAATCAACTGAACACAGAAAAAGCATAAGTTTTGATGAACTGTATGAATGAATGAAAGTTGCACATGGACACGAACAATCAAAAACAGCAGGCACTATATGTGACTGGTGAAAAAGGTAATTAAAAACACAACTTAAAAACACTAAATTACTGAGAAGAGCAATTAACATTTCTTCAAAGTCTTAACTTGCACTTATATTTGTTACTCCTCCAATTACAAAAATGAAAGTCCTTACATCTGATTGGTCAGTACCGTTTCAGCCATGTATCACTGTGTAGCAACCAATGCAAATTGCTGTTTTTGTAGCAACAATTTGTTATGGAAGAATATCACATAAAACTGCATTAATTAGGGCTAATGTGTTTTTATTATTTTTAATACTTTGTAATCATTTTATAAAAGCAATACAACATTCAGGTTGATGAGGAACATTTTAAGTCTAATGGAATCTAGATTTTTATTGTTTTAGTTATTTTTGCAAAATCTTGCAAAAGTAATAGATTTTATCTTTTAAAGTTGGAGGAAAGGAATTGGGTTCCAGAAGTGAAAATCCCATTCATTTTCTCCAAATGAAAGAGAATTAATTTGTAAAGATAACTTACAAACTGTTAAAGACAAACCTACTTAAATATTTATTTTTTCATTTTTATACTGGCTATGCAATACTTCATTGGATTACAGTTCTTTCCCTCATTAAAGCCTTTAAGTACAAAGCCCTGTACCTTTGTCTTTTTGTCCGCTTCTCAAATCCTGTTCTGCTTCAAATCAAAGTTTGTAATGCTGTTGTTCACCTCGTTTGTTTGATTCATGGCAAGAGGGAAAATGAAAGAGGGGGGAAACAATTCCTTAACAATGGCTGCTGAAAAAGTGGGCGGGAACTATTGACTTTGGCATTCTGAACATGAGAAGTGGAAAGGGTCTGTCTGTATGCATGCATGCATTCTTATGTTTAAAGACTTTCGGAGCAGTAATGCAATCTGATGACAAGACCAGAAAGGACGGTGGAAAGATAAGAACACTATGATGATAGGCATTAAAATAGCTACAGCTGATAAGATTTGAATGTTTTATGGCGTGACTGTGTGGAGAAGACTGATTAAGTTAGTTTGAAATTATATGCATTAGTAAAGAGAATATATCAACACAGTGCAAGTCAGAACTGGAATGGGGCATATTAAACATTAGGCAGAATATGAATTCAACACAAATGTGTAAACATGGCAATGGCACTACTATCCAGATTCAGTGCACATGAAGGAAATGCAGAGAATGTCTTGGACAGAAACCTTACAAGTGCTTAAGAAATATCCCAGAAAACACATCAAAACGACGCCTTTTACAGCTTTAAATAACGCAAGTGTCCGCTGAGCGTCAATCTGATGCTACGATAATAACATTCATCTCATTTTAGGACCGTCGACTTACATTAACCCCGAAACTGTGTAAACACTTTATTTAGGTGAATCACGTAAGCTTAAATCCCAAGCAAACATCCGCTTTAAACACAACACATGGACGAATTAGGATGATAAAAACAAAAAATGTAAAAAAATAAAACGAGGCCACGGGTCTAAATGTGCACGACAAGGCCTAACGTTACACCGCAACCTTTAAACGTGTATCTCTGCAGTTCGGGTTTATTATAGTCTGTACTTAAAACATAAATCGTATAACATATATGTCATTCGAATGCACTGTGTTGCTACTTACATTTTTTTCCTTTTCCCAGCCTTTGGGTTGAAGTCCTTTACGTCGTACGAAGTGAAACGCTATCAACGGTTAGGGCAACTGCGCACAACGTGAAGGCGGAAGTGAGTGACTACGAAAGAGTTCCTCACTTCCGATGTGAATTGCAAAATAAAAGCCCTAGCTGGTTTTCGTCAAAACTAATACCAAAGCCACTCTTCTCATTTATATTGCTATCATTTATTATATTATACTACTAAAATCCCCTTAATTGTTTTTACTGTTGAACAATGACACTCTGGATGTCACTGCCGTGATGTAATCAGAATATTCAGAGACTGGTACAAAAGAAGCAAAGCAGTCAGTTTATATCATCAGCTTGATCTGACTGAAGCATCTACACAGCATGTGTGCTTTATACTAACAGCTTTTTAGAAAAGAATCTTCTTTGAAGGACAGTCAAAATAGCAACGTCCTACATTCTAGATGTTTCTGTGATATTCTAGTGGAACATTCCAGAACACAAAAAGTAATGTGATTTTCATATTCAGCATGTCAAACTTCATACAGAAAATGAAACAAAACTCATTGTTCAGAGTAATAATCAGAGTAATAATGCTGAGAAATAGAGACAATTCAGTCATTGCTTGACTAACACACCCTAATACAGTTAAGTTTACTGCTTGTAATGTGTTTTTAATACTGGCTGTTTGCTTTTGAAGTTATGTTTAGTTGAAAATTAAAAACATTAACTACATACAATTGAAACAAATGTATTATTATTCGAAAAAAGTACCCTTAATTAAACAAAATTGGTAACTAAATACAATTTTGTATAAATAAATTATTAAATAGCGACTGTTTAAGATGTGTCCAAGGATTAATGGAGTTTAGTCATGGATTTAGCTGATATTTAATTCTCACAGCATTTTATTTTAACACATGTTCTATTTCAAAATCACCAGACCGTGACTGAATAAAAGACCAATGTTTTCAGAAATCGTATGTGAATGTGTTTTCTTGTTCTGAAATGATGCTGTCTTTCCACCCTTCAGTTTATCGATTATCACCATCTCCATCATAAACCCATTCATATATCCCATCCTCTTCTGCACAAGACTCATGGTAGCAGGCCTTACAGTTGCTGCATCTGATCCACGCTTCAGCAGCTTTCAGATCACCGTCTGAGCCGTGGTTTATGAAGCAGCCTCTGCACTTGTAGGAGGTGGCTGCTTTATTCTGTTCATTTCTTTGTTTTAAATGTTCATCATAAAGAAGGTATTCTGAGGTTCTTTGTAAATATGGTACTGTCTTGGCTCTGGGTGTGTGACTTTTTTGTATGACCACAAAGTCTGTGAATGATGCCACTTCATCAGAGCCGCTCTCAGTGCTCCAATGTGCGGCGTCTTCGGCGCATAGCGTGGTGCTTTTATGCCCAATGGAGGTAAACTTGTTTATCGGGAGCACCCCTGTTGTTCTGAACACATCTTTGGCTTGTTCCACAGTGGCAGTTTTCTTCCATGCTTCCATGAAAACAGAGCAATAATGTGCTTTGGGCAACTTCATTCCTGCACACTGCTGATTCCACTTGCGACTCGCTTCGCACCAGTTGTGTTTGAGGCTCCCAAACAGAGCCATGTTGGCCGGCTGCGGCGCAGGAAAGCATATGACTTCCACGTCGTTCTGCTTCATGAGACTGAGGAAGCTGAGGTTGAAGATGTGGCTGCTTTGGCCATCGAGGAACAGAAGGTGGGGCCTGGAGTCATCTTTTGGGAGCTGTGCCACAAACATTTCCCCCCACTCAAGGAACAGCTCTGCTGTTATCCGGCCATTATCTGATGCTCTCACGCACATGTTTTCATTCATCCACTCATTTCTCACATTAATTCCTTTGAAAATGAGAAGCGGAGGAGCAAACGCACCACTGGCATTGAATGCTGCTAGTATAGTTGAGGCCGTTTCCTCCTCGGTTGTGATCTGAACGCAGGGATCTTCTCCTTCCCCGACAGATTGTTGAGAGGAGAACTTGTCTTGTAGTCCTGATACATCACACTTCCAAATATGTGAAGGGACGTCTTTAATTCCCAAGGCATCAAGTGTGTTTTCATACATCATGAACCATTTTTCCAGCTCTTCTTCATTCATCCTTGTAGCTGGTGATGTGGTCTCAGGTTTCTTTATTTGCAGCCCGGGGTTTCGCTTCATAAAGCCCTCGAACCAGTAATAGCCTGCCTTTTGCTTCTCTTCTGAAAACCCTCGGATGCCATTTATCTTGGCAAACTCAAAAGCAAGAGACTGAACATCAGTCTTCCTCAAGGAGAAGCCTCTCTCTGAAAGCAAGGTGAGAAGGCGCGCTAACTCCCGCTCAGATTCAACAGGGATGAATGGCTTTCTTCCAGACGCATGCTCAGATCCCTCGACGAGCCCTTTCACGCGTCTCTGAAGGGTCGTTTTTGGCACGTTCCACTTCCTTGCCAGCAATCGTAGCGCAGGCTTCTGCCCCGACTCAGCCTGTGCTTTATACTCGTCTATTGCAGCTTTCATACGCTCCTCACTCCACTGATTCATCTTCAGCCCTTTTCTTCCTTTAAACTCGCTTTGCATTTCCATATTTCCTTGAAAAGATAAAAGTCAGAATGTTGTTGAATTAGGCCTAATATTCTGACATCCCTATTACTCAACTAATATTATATCATTTTGCACAAATATACCTTCTAGACTGAACTAGAAATCAGTTATTTATTAGTAAGTTATAATTTGCTATATACACTGCCGTTTAAAAGTTTGGGATCAGTACGATTTTTGATGATTTTTAAAGAAGACTCTCATGCTCACCAAGGCTGTATTTATTTGACCAAAAATACAGAAAAAAACAGTAATATTGTAAATTATTATTACAATTTTAAACAACTGTTCACTAGTTAAAATTGCTGTAAAATATAATTTATTCTGTGATGCAAAGCTGAACTTTTATCAGCATCATTACTCCAGTCTTCAGTGTCACATGATCCTTCAGAAATCATTCTAATGTGCTGATTTATTATCTATCAGCATCATTTCTCCAGTCTTCAGTGTCACATGATCCTTCAGAAATCATTCTAATGTGCTGATTTATTATCAATGTTGGCAACTGTTGTGCTGCTTAATATGTTTTGGAACCTGTGATACTTTTTTTCAGGACTCTTTGATTAATAAAAAGTTAAAAAGAACAGCATTTATTCAAAATGGAAATCGTTTCAAACTATATAAGTCTTTACTATCACTTTTTTAAAATCAATTTATCAAACACATCCTTGCTGAATAAAAATAGTAATCTGTTCAAAAAAGAAAAAGAAAAAGAAAAGAAAGAAAATGTACTGACCCCAAACTTTTGATATATATACAGTATATTTATAAATATATATATATATATATACACACACCTATATTTAGTTATATATATTATACATAATTAATTATATAATATATAATGTTATATTCGAATTGATCTTCATAACTTCTAACTCAAAGTAGGCAAATCTTCAGACAGTAGAATAGAAACATCTGACATTACATTAGCAACCAGTTTAGCACAGCTACAATGGGATTATTAGAAAACATCAGGCTTCTGACATGTTCCATGACATGATAGCTCATATAAAATGATGAATAATCATACTTCATCTGAATAGTGTAGTGTCCCACATTAACAGATAGCTACTGTCCCACTTTACCTAACACGTTTAGCTAAGCTAAGTGGGTCATTACTTTAAATATCATTACAAATAAACACACGCAATTTTGCATTTTTGGGGGGCAATTGCACATTAAATTATTATTTTAAAGCAGAATGATTTTTTTTTTAAATGAATGGTTATTATTTTAATTTAAAGGGAGTATTTGTGAGCGCACTTACCATGTGCTTGTTGTTATCGGTTGTGTTGAAGCTTGACCACGCCCACCACAGTGATGTCAGGCAAATGAGAACGGTGTGAAATAGTAATTATTCATGACTGTTACAATATGATTGGCTCTTGATATTTAAAGGGCACTCCAGCGTGAAAGTGAATTTGACCCACTTTATCTGATGTCCCACTTTTTCGGACATAACTCCAAATATAGTTCTGAAATGCAAAGATCTGGTTTCCTGCCGTAACTGCAAACTGGTTTGCATTAAAGACAGGGTATGAAATATACCCTTATTAACAAGCATTCAATATTAGAGGATGGAAAGGCCATGCAGAAGGTTTCTAAATGGCACAATCAATATACAGGCCCTGACATTTCTTATTTACATAGCATTTAGCAGACACTTTTTATTCAAAGCATCTTACACTGCATTTCAACAGTCCCATTACAACAACCTGGGATAAGTGCACACACACACACACACACACACACACACACACACACACATTGCAGTTATGTGTATATATAAATTATAATACAATAAATAATTTATTAAATTTTTTTGCATTTTTATGTCATTTTTTATATATTTTTATATTTATGATTTATTTTAATATTTATTTTATTTTTATATTTATATAAATGAAATAAATATAAATGAAACAATCAAAAATTGCAAATGTTACTTTGGCAAACAACTGAAATAAAATAACATTTCAAACACTTTATATTAAATATTAAACTTTACACACTATCACAGACATCATTAATAACACTTTTGTCTGTTTAAAATGTTCCTTGCACTTTGCCTGCATGTGCTTTATTCAGTTAAACCTTTCACTCTTACCCTGACCTTTTACTCAGCTTTGTAGTTTTTGCTCTTCTGACCTTTAAATTATTGACTTAAACCATAAGGACAAGTTGTCCTAATATTAGAAAGTGCAATGTCTAAAGTACAAGCCTGTGAGACATGTATGTCAATGAGATAATTATTGATGTGTGAGTCAAGGCACCCTGACCTTTTACTCAGCTTTGTAGTTTTTGCTCTTCTGACCTTTAAATTATTGACTTAAACCATAAGGACAAGTTGTCCTAATATTAGAAAGTGCAATGTCTAAAGTACAAGCCTGTGAGACATGTATGTCAATGAGATAATTATTGATGTGTGAGTCCTTGAAATTATAGCAAAAACCTCCAGAGCACTCTTTTATAATGGAATGATTCGAGTTGATTCCATTCAAGAAATGCCCCACAAATAAATATTATATTATATTATATTTGCAATGAAATAATTTAGGCTACCTGTGAACTCACATAGGTTAGCAAGCTATGGGTGACTTTGTTTCTTCAGTAGAACACAAACTGAGATTTTTAAGTCAAACCGTTGCAGTCTGTCAGTCCTATAATGGAAGTGGATGGGAACCGCAATGTCTGAACTGTCCTGAGCGCGTTTGACACTCCTAATTGAGATTGTAGATAGAGTGTCAATGGTCCATTTGAGAGATAGGTGGCGGTAATGCACTTATAAGTCTGCAATCCGCCGTAAAGCAAGAAGAAGAAGAAGACGCGAACGCGCTCAGGACAGTTCAGACATTGCGGTGAAAATCAGAGGTAAAAAAAACGGTATAAATACTGTTCAGTTTCTTGCACAGACCGATCGTTTTGTGTCTTTACACATCAATGTATCGTCACGAGCCGCAG